GGCCTAACATGCAAAGGAGTTCCCGCTACAAAAAAAAAAGCCCTGGGTTTTGACAACAAACAAGGTAAACAGAATAACAACCAAAAGGTGGGTGTGGCTGGATAACCACACTTCTGGTAACATGGGGGTGTGGCCTAATGTGCTAATGAGCTGTGCTGTCAGGGGTGTGGTCCAATGTGCTAATGAGTTCCTGCCTTTGGGTGTGGCCTATTATACTAATGAGTTCCTGCTGGGCTTTTTCTACAAAAAGAGCCCTGCCTGTAGCTATCGTTCAGTCAGAATCCCAAGCACCAACCCTTGTGCAACTATAAACCTGTTATAAAACCATTTTTTCCTCTCCTCTCCCCCAGGTACGTGGAGGGCAGCTCCATCCCAGTTCCAACCCATTACTACAGCATCATAACAAGCTGTTTAGATTTCAACCAGCCAGCTGACAAGTGTGACGGACCGCTTTCTGTTATGTCTTTTATAATCCCGCACCGGCCCGACAACGAGGAGAGCTGCCTTGTAAGTGGGGACAATGGTGGGGTGGGCTTTTTCGGTCCTGTGAAACCTACCAATAGGAATGGAAGCAGCAAGGTCTGCAAGGGTGTTTGGCCTTTGTGCCATGCAGTACTGGCCCATACTATAATCAGACATTCTAAGGAAATGTAAGGAAAGAGAGTCAGAAATAAGCTGTCCGTGCAAATGTTATGGTGGGCATGCTCACCCACCAAATCAGGCACAGTCTAGCGCATCTGCAGGGTGGCTACAGTTTCTGTGTGAATCAGCCCTGCACAGTTGTTTGTATGGAATGGAACACACGACAGTTGACCGTGCCCCTACCACCAGCCAGTTTGGTGTTGTGGTTAGGAGCGCTGACTCTAATCTGGGAGAACCGGGTTTGATTCCCCTACGCCTCCACATGCAGCTGCTGGTGTGACCTTGGGTCAGTCACAAGTTCATTCAGACCTGTTCTCTCAAGGGCAGTTCTCAAGAGAGCTCTCTCAGCCCCACCCACCTCACAGGGTGTCTGTTGTGGGGAGGGGAAGGGAAGGGAAAGGAGATTGTAAGCCACTCTGAGACTCCTTCGGGTAGTGAAGGGTGGGATATAAATCCAATCTCCTCCATCTCCTCCTCTTTATGGTACAGGAGAACATAGCTGGAGAACATAGCTGGAGTTCTCCGAGACTCTAATCTGGGAGGACTGGGTCCCACTCCTCCACATGCAGCTGCTGGTGTGACCTTGGGTCAGTCACAAGTTCTCTCAGAGCTGTTCTCTCAGGAGCAGTTGTCGAAAGAGCTCTCTCAGCCCCACCTACCTCACAGGGTGTCTGTTGTGGGGAGGGGAAGGGAAAGGAGGTTGTAAGCCACTCTGAGACTCCTTCGGGTAGTGAAGGGTGGGGTCTAAATCCAATATCTTCCTCTAACTGCCTCGGAAAGGTCAGATCAAGGCTTTCAGACAGCCTAAATAAATAAAGCATGAGCATTCCTTAGAAAGGGCAGCTCTTTTGGCGTTGTGCTAAACTGTCGATCTCCAGGGCACATTTATGCATGCGGTTTGTTTTGTATAGATCTTTGGAGGGAAGGCGATTTAGGATACCTTACCTGCACTTTGTTGGTCATGTGTGTTAAGTTACCTTTACCCAGCAGAAAGCATGCGTTTGTTGGAAACCGAGCAAAACGCCGTTTCACCATCTGCTCCTCTGTTGACTTAAGATGGACCTAGAGATCCGTACCCTGCTTCTTTCAGATGGAAGTAATTGGTGTGCGTCTAACCTCAAACGTTCACCGGTTTCATAGGAGCCATTTAGAAGGAAATGCATCAGGCACTCAGCTGGGGAGATGCTCCATCATAACTAATCATCGTTATAATCAACCCCATTAACTCTGGTTTTACTGGGCTGTCATTAAAGGCAGGGCCGGCTCCAGCTTATTTTGCACCCTAGGCGAGGATCCCTTCTGGGGGCCCCGTGCGACCACCAATTTTCAAAAATAAATGCACTTTAGGAAGAATGAAAAACACAAATAATCAAGAAACTCCCAGAGTACGGGGGCCGGGTGCAGTTTGGTGCCCCTAAGGGCCGTCCTGCTCTAGGCGATCGCCTAGTTCGCCTAGTGAGTGAGCCGGCCCTGATTAAAGGGCTGCAAAGGAAGAGAAGGGGTATGGAGGAAACGGAGATAAAAAGGGATATGGGGAAGCCGGGGTGGCCGCATGGTCTCTGAGGCAAATGCATGATACGCAAATATGAGTGACAAAGCAGCCCTGGGATATTTATTTATTTATTTATTAAATTTATATCCTGCCCTCCCCAAACAGGCTCACGGCAGCTAACAAGAGGCATAGGCCATGATACAACTACTAAAAACAGAATAAAACAGTCAATTACAAACAAAGTGCCGGTACTCTAAATCATAAGCTCTTATCAATCCAAGATGGGGTTCCACAAACCAGCATAACCCTTCAGCATAAGTTCCGGCTGGTACTGTCGTCCTTTCATAGTCAGTTCTTCAGGTTGTCTGGTCGTCTTTCCAGGGCCAGCTCACATCCTGATAGAATCCACCGTCAGATGGCAGCTCGGTGGTGGTACAGTAGCGGTGGCGGCTCCTATGCAAAAGCCTGGCGGAAGAGCTCTGTCTTACAGGTCCTGCGGAACTGCATAAGGTCCCGCAGGGCCCGGATCTCCTCCAGGAGCTCGTTCCACCAGATAGGAGCCACCACCGAAAAGGCCCTAGCCCTGGTTGTAGCCAACTTGATGGCCATTCTCAGCAGAGACGCAGCAGGGCTAGGGATGCCAGCCTCCAGGTGGGACCTGGGGATCCCCCCCCAAATCTCCAGACTACAGAGATCAGTTCCCCTGGAGAAAATGGATGCTCTGAAGGGTGGACTCTGTGGCCTTGTACCCCACTGAGGTCCCCTGCCCTCCCCAAGCTCCAGGAGTTTCCCAGCCTGGAACTGGCAACTCTACCCCCCTTACACACACACACACCAGTG